CCGCACCTGCTGGCAATCAGGCCGTCATCACAGGCAGCTCAAATACCCCGGCTTCCTTCATTCTCATCGCCAGTGGTAGCTACAACCTCGGCCCCTCTGAGTTTTTACCCTCTTCTTAGAGTTGTTTAACTTCGCTCCTCTGGATGTGCAACTCACTTGTGTTCTCTTTGTGCTTCAAGATTCCTGTGCCACGTCGCCACCCAGCCGCCGCCACTCACACCGCCTCGCCTTCCTTCCTGCATGTTCCACCGCCTCCACGAACAACAAAATAAAACCCTTTTACTTCACCTACCCTGCCGTCTCGGTGTCTGCGTATGGGTTCAGCATCACCGACCGTAACACTATAGGCCTTGTCAACCACAAGATCCACTCAAAAAGGAAGCAGTTGAGGGAATTGCACCAGTTTTTAACTCTTTATGAAAGGCAGGTGTAATGAGAACACCAATCTTTTCTGTCAAAAAGATCAGAGATGCAGGACAACCAGATGAATGGAGATTTGTCCAAGACTTGAGCGGAAAAAGTCACATTTCTGAACAGAGGGCAAATCCCTCTCACCCAAACATATAAGTGCTATTCAAAATATCCCAAAGCCTGCGACAAAGGAACAAGTAATGTGCTCGTACTGTCGCTAAGTCATTCCTAACTTCGCTGTGTTTGATGCACTGTTGTCGGCAATTGTACAAGGGGAAGGCCTCCTCGCACACCGTAAAGTCACTCGGACAGAAGAGGCAGAACAGTCATTCAACCAGCTGAAACTAGTCTTACAGTCCGACTTTAGGCCTACCAGACCCGACGATACCCTTCACACAGACTGTTGACGAGAGACAAGGATGTATGACTTCTGTTTTGTTGCAGGAACATGGGGTACGACAAAGACCTGTTGCTTATTTCTCAGCTAAACTTGACCCTGTTGCAGTAGGTCTGCCCATGTGCCTTAGAGCTGTTGCAGTTGCTGAGAGGGCTGTAATGGCCTCAACAAATGTGTTGGTTATTATAACCTCACACTGTTGGTTCCTCATGATGTTGCTATGATTCTGCTTGAACAAAAAACATCTCATCTTTCCACAGCAAGATGGCTGCGATATGTTACTGTTTTGCTTTTCATATCACTGTGAAAAGATGGACCGTTCTTAACCCCGCCACTCTTCTTCCCACTCCAGATGATGGAGAAAAACACAACTGTACTCCAAGACCAGATTTGCAGGAAACACCGCTGCCAAATGCTGACCTAGAACTGTTTGTGGACGGATCAGCATCACACAATCCAGAGACAGGAAACAGCCAAGCTGGGTTTGCAGTTGCAACAGCGCGTGACCCTCGAATTGCACCACCCTTGCTTATACTGCTTACTCTGCACAAGCAGCGGAACGTACAGCTCTGAGTGAAGAATGTAAGTTGGCCAAAGACAGAACATCTACACAGATAGCAGGTATCCATTTGGTGTAATTCACGATTTCTGGCACTCTGTGGAAACAGAGAAAATGTTTGATATCATCAGGTAAACCCGTTGTTCATCACACACTTGTCTCTCAGTTACTTGATGCTATCATACTCCCTAAGCAACTTGCTTAGGGAGTATGATAGCATCAAGTAACTGAGAGAAAATGTTTGATATCATCAGGTAAACCCGTTGTTCATCACACACTTGTCTCTCAGTTACTTGATGCTATCATACTCCCTAAGCAAGTTGCTGTTTGTAAATGTGAAGCTCACACTAACAACTCTGACTCATCTCAAGGAAATGCACGAGCAGATGCAGCAAGCACCCAAAAAAGGAACTGAAACCACAGCTGATCTGACACTGGAATGTTTGCTGAGTTCACCAAAGGCTTCTCAAAAGACTCTAAAATAATGTTGTCAATCCTGTGTCCTTTGTGCTACAAACAACGTAGAGGCATTCAGATACCTCAAGCAGCACACCCACCACCTAAGAAACCATTTCATCATGTGCAAATGGATTTCATTGAGTTAACACCCAGTGAAGGCATAAAGGACTGTTTGGTAACCGTAGATGTGTGGGTCAAAGCTTCCCAACCTCCAAACAAGATGCTAATACTTCAGCTAAATCATTAATTCTACATCCTTTAGAATGTATAAAAGCCAGATGCACCTTTAATACTGTGCTATTGTTCTGTTGAGACCACTGATCTCTGTATGATCTGAGCCCATATTTGCAAAAGCTAAAATAAACTTTGTTCTCAACCTAAATTTCAGATTTCCCCAACAAATTTGTAATGCGTATTAATTTGATGGTTAAAAGAAGGTAGATCCAACTGAACACATTAGCTTCACATACAGTACAGAGGGCTGATATCTGCTGACTTTTGTGGTGTTTTATTCAACTGATTATTAATGATGCATTATGTTTACTGTTGGATGCCCAGCTTGCCTGCCCCTTGGAATCACCAGTGTTTGCTACATAGAAGAGGGTTTGTTTTTTTTATCATGCACAGCATAGGTGGCTGGTTTTGAATGGCTGCTCTGTGCTCATCATGATCAGATGGAGGACCAAGCGAGCCACCCCTAAATTTAAAAGAGAAATGTACACAAGAGATGTACCTTAACATTTTACTTGTAAAATGCGAAAATGCACAAACACTGCAATGAACCATGAACAAATGACTTGTACTCAAGAGCTCTCACCTGAAACCATGGCATTTACAGCATGTTAATACTATATACTAATATAAGCCCTACACTGTAACTATCTAGACCCAATACTGTTCCTGATCAAATACAGAGAATACAACAAAGTCTGCAAGCTAGTTCTCACACACACACACACACACACACACACACACACACACACACACACAC